TAGTCACTGCTTACTTTAAACTAATTAATATCATCAACAATACATAGTTATGGAAAAAAACGTGTTTATTTGTTGTCATAATAACAATAAAACGTGCAAATATTGAATCAATAGCCCATATGATTATCACAATAAGTTTCTGAAACCTTAGAACTTGGAAGAAACCAATCTTCATAGCAACAAACTTGAAGGTCTGCCACAACAAAAAAATTGTCGCGCCAGGACCAAAGAAAACTTTGAAATGGGGCACGTTGACTGCCAACCCAACAACAAGGGAATTAGTCATGTGTTATGATTCTGTACTTTCCTTTGTTTATCGATTCATCTCTCTCTTGATCTCCTTTTTTGGTAATTTCCTCTTGTATCTTTCTGTATTGATCATTTGGAAGCGTGGACATCCAAGCGATATCCATAAAGCTTGAAAGAAACTTACACTGAACGATCTACATATGAATACTAAAGAGAAGCGGTGGCTAAGCGAAAACAAAACGAAGTTGCACACTTTCTTTCTCAGAACCTCGTATTAGTTTCCGGAATAAGAAGCTTAGAAAACGAATAGGCGTTGTTAGGGTTCTAAATCAAAAACCCTTGCATACCTGAGTAGTTTTGAACGATTTTTCTTTGTGCTTTTTGAATGAACTCGTTCACAGTTTAGACTTCCGAATTATTATCAGTCATTCCAGTTCAACTCTTGTAATGTTTGGTTTAACAGCTCGAGATTGTTGATATATGTTTTAACCGACGTGCAATTCTGAAAACCGGTCTTGTGTTTGCTCTGTGACTGACATTCTTCCTCAGATCACTGAGTTGAATTAATTCTCATGGATAGGTGAGTTCGCTTTTAACAATTTATTTACAAATTTGCTCCTATTTAGCGGTCTGCCCAATAAGGGAATTCTACGGAAGTGGACAAACTATATAGCAGGATGGCAGGATCGATACTTCGAAATAAGTAATGGGACTATCTCGTATTATAAAGAAAAAGAAGATAAAGCCTATGGATGTCGCGGGTCTGTATCACTTCGTGGGATAACCATTGTGGTATTTGCATTTTTCTTAATTGTCGCAATAACATTATACGTTAGGAACATGAATATGATCAAAGTGCCTTTTCCTTAACTGCTGGTACAACTCATTGGTTCTTGAAATGCGAGTCTGTTGATGAAAAATTAACATGGATTAGACTACTAAAAGATTTCTCAAAAGACTCGGTACGTTATAGTTTTCTTTATTCAAACACAGCGTGCTCTCGAAGTTTCTCGAATGCAACCGGTTCACATGGCTTCTTAGGAAAAATGATTACCGTTGATGAGACGCTTTTTGCGTGGAATTAGCATACGCTCATTGTGTTGTTTTATAGAATGACTCTGACTATAGCAGCACGAGTACCAAAAGCCATTCCCGTAACCCATCATCCATTTCTTCCGTCCTAGTCCGAGATTCCTTAGAGGTATTTTAATTATCGTAAAGCTAAACTGCTATTTTCGCATAGGATAACGAGAAACTCTTCTCATCACGCATCGCTGAGTTAGAAGCTTATAGAACTATGTGCTTAGATCAGATGGTTTCGGTTCAGAGATTACTAGAGAAAGAGATCGCTGTGCCAAAAGCCGATCTCCTTTCCATAAAAGCTACTCATATAGCTATGATTAATAATATTAATCATATTATAGATTTAGCTAAAACTGGAAAAGTAAGTAATGTACTGCATTCACATTATTTTTATTTTGTTGTTATAGGTCAGTATATCTGAAACTGGCGAGAATAGCAATGTCAGTACTTCCTCTAGTTATAGCCTATCGAGAATTGCGGACGATGGAGAAGAGTCTGAAAGTACCATTCAGGAACCAGCTTCGACAAGTCTATCCACAATCGACGTGGTTAGTCCTTTGACCTTTGATTTGTTTACATATGAAGTTCAGACAAGCGAAGGTGACGATGAATGGCATGATGCTGATGAGCATTCTTCCATGGGCAGTATCGAGCGTGCGGAAGAGGCTCGAGGCTCCAAAACGCCATCGCCGGCGAACTCGTCGCCCACGAAAGAGAAGCTCAAAAAAACGAAATCTGTTGATACACGAAGGGTAAGACATCAAAACGAAATTCGCTCATTTCCGATTTCATTCAGAATCTCCCATTTGGTCATTACGATGATTTATGCATCCCAGACCATCATCCTCTTTTCTCCGACGTCGATACTCTCGCCTTAGAGCAGTTAAAGTGAGCATATATTTTGTGAATTGGTTGGTAATATCTTTCATTTGAATAGATATGCTCTGGCTGGTGTGGAAGATAACATATGGACTCTATTCGCTGAAGATGGGGCCATGAAAATGTATACGAGAGAAATGCAGGATGAAGGAGGAGTTCCAATCGATCCTCTCAAAGCTGTTCATGAAGTTAAAGTATGTCAAATGCCATTGAAAAGCTGAAATTCATATGTTTAAAGGGAGTCACCGCTTTGGAATATATGTATCATTTCTATGACCCTATGTTCAAAAAGACTTGGGATCACACTTTGACAGATATGAGCGTCGTCGAAAACATTAGTCGTGACACCGTTGTCCTTCATCAAAAACACAAGACGGTAATTGGTTGCGAATGTCCAAATGATATTGAAGTATTCTTCAGGTGTGGCCTGCAGCACCCCGCGAATCGTTGTTCGTTTCTCATATCCGTAGAGTAGATTCCATGAAGCGAGAAGGAGCTCATGATTTATATATTGTTTGTAACAAAGATGTTGATCGTGAAGATGTTCCGGTAAGAGTTGTAATCACAAGTGTGCGTGAGCTTATGATAACTTGCTTATAGCTGGGCACACCATCAAGTCTCAGAGTCAGTCTGTCTGTTTCCATGATATGCGAGACAGTAATTTTGGGGAACAAGAAACTAGAAGATATAACCCGTAATGACATCCAATGTAACATAATTTATGTATCACAAGGTGAGTCTATACAGCATGTATCCTCCTCATCATAATGTTTGACTTGCAGTTCATCCAGGAGGATGGTTACCTCTGGCGGCTCTGAGACGCGTCTATAAGAAGGAATATCCCAAATTCCTGCGAACTTTCACCGAATTTGTCGTCAAAAGCGTCAAACACCAGAAAATAGCAATCTAAATTGCCTCAATTTCCCTAATTCACTTTTTTCAAAGCAGGTTTTATATCTAATATATGTATATATTTTCATCTCTCTGTGATATTAGTAGTTCTTTTGTGAGATTCGATTTCTGAGGATTTGTAAGTAGATTATCCCATTTATCAGTTTCGTCAGCAGTATTCTTTAATTTCTTGAAATACCATTTGTATTTCCATTTCCACATTGGGACTGCGAACAACGGGATGCTTGCGAACCCGTTTTTTACTTTTTTTTTATTGTATAAAATGAATAAGTTTATATATTATATACTCTATTGCTCGTTTACATAATCTGTTCTGGACAACAGGAATATCTCAAATCTGCATACTGTCTTGTCCAAACATAGACTACCAGCTTATGAGAAAGTTGGTTTGAGACTACTCATACTTTGACCTTAATTGGCATGGTCTTCTTCATTTGCGAATGAAAGTTCGAGTGATTCACTCATCACTCTCCTCCCATTCTCGGCCAGTTCAACGAAGAAATACTTCTGGAAAAGTTAAAATATTCTTTCGCTCTATTCTCGTTTATTGATCCAAACTTTTATCTCCGAATGTTCGACTGTTCTCCTGTTTAAAACATTTTTTAAGCGAAAATGCACAGCGTAGCTTTGGACTCCGTTCCCTACTCCTTGATTGTC